AGCACTCAAGTGCAGAACTTCTCAGTTACAGAACTGGATACCGTGGACTAACGAGGCGATGGTAAAATGAGGTAAATACGGTCCATATACTACAAGATATGAGAGTGTACAGGTAAAACATCTCTACTTTTACTAGATAGGATTCAAAATTGCACATTTTGTCATATGTCTTCTGTTCTTTTGAAATAAGCATAAAACCGGCTGAAGGATCTGTCTATCAGTAGCTGAAAAAATGCAATTCGTCGCCAGATAGACTGACCGTTTGGCACTGCTTAAACCAAAACCGTTTTATAATGTATTTCAATACAACTACCAATGCATTTGCGTCTTTTTCCATCCTCTGATGGACTGATGATCGAGCTGGCTGACTGCTTTCTCAATAAATGTTCATTTTACTAAAAAGAGATTCACGTAAGTTGGACGATAACGAAACTCGTTTCTGTTCAATGTAAAATAAGCAATAACTCTTTCAGATTTCATGGTGTATTGCGCCGCTCTCTTTCTCCAAGTTGCATGGGGGAGGGGCATTTAAGCAAGACATGGTTCCACGGCATTAGAGCATCTGCAGTGTCAGATATGTTCCAGATTATTTTTAGGTAGAGCAATCTCACGCCCTTCACAAATGATATTTTAATAGCCATGGGGCCGTTGCTCGTTTAAATGGCTCCTTGGACAGCCAGGAGCCAGGGGGCGATGCCTTACGCCATGAGCTATGAAGAGTCATTCGTTATTTTACGTACTTTGACGTAAGAAACAACTTATGATGTTTATGCGGTAGCCTGTTCAATGTCATGCATTTGAAACTGCTCACTTCGATATATAGTCCTCCTACTTGTTTACGTGTTTATAAACTAAATCAGAAATCATCCTATGCATACTAGTTATTGGTAAAGTAATGAGGATATCGTATCCAGTGGTGATCAGCGCATACCATTCGCATATATATTCCGGAAGAAGGTTTCTGGCATAGGGTCGAAGACTTATAATATTTTCGTGAAAAGTTTTTTCCTTTTCTGCAGAGGACTTGTTTTCTGTAGGTAGTATCTTATCCCTTAAAATGCTTTTTTGTATAGAAATTCTCATGAGAGTTCTTCTGTTCCATATTTGGTTGATAAGTCAAACCTTGAATGGCAATCAGTTATGCTCTATCGTATTAAGTGCAATTAGGTATCCTTGCAGAGCTTGTTTTTAACCTCGATAGTGAGCGCGTTTGATTTATATAGGCGTGGTTTCGATTTCAGTCTAAATTCATTCCAGCATTATTCATGCACTGTTGGATTGAATGACGACGGTTTCCTGCCTCTTTAGCATTAAGATATTATTTTCGATGTATATTTCAATTATTATTACGCTGCATTTTCCGGCCACCGAGTTTTTTTCATTTTTTTCTATCCAGCAACGGATCTTTCGTAGTATTCACTCCGTGTCTTTCTGTATTACCCATTTTTGTGTCGATCTGCGTTTTGCCGTACTGTCGTATGGCAGAAATGTTCTTGTTTCATTTGTTCCATGGCGTTTTTGTCTGTGGCAGATTGTACATCGTACCTCGATCTTTCGATTTTGATTCATTAGTTTCCTCATCCATCCGATTGGTGCTTTATACCTGAATACTAGCTGTATTATTTTATATTTTTGAGTATCTTATGTAGATTTTTATTTATTTGCTCCACGTTGAGAACGGCGTTGCGGGTGTTGTGAATTTCTGTGGTTCAGTTGTTTGACGAATTTTGAGTTATGAATCTGATCATCATATTTACATTGGCTCATTAATAGTGGGCTAATCTGGTAGTTGAATTTTTTGATCACGTTCATTGCAGAGCTGCCTTCGTTTCAGGTGCGAGTCATGGGCAACGTGCAACGGTACAGCGTACAGTGCGTGCTGGTCATAAACATCTTCAACGAGAAGATTTTTATTTTTCTGTGGTTTTGGTACGTGGTGTTGTTTTTCGTCACCACGTGCAGCCTTGCGTACTGGGTGTGCATGATACTGTTGCCATGGCCTTCCCGGTGGTTCGTCTCACGTCACCTGGAACTGTCCGAAATGCCGTTCGATCCGAAGGGCAGCGAGAAGGACGTCGAACGGTTCGTCACCAGCTACCTGAAGACCGACGGCGTGTTCATACTGCGCATGATCACCATACATTCAGGGGTCATATTCGGCACGGATTTGGTCCTATCGCTGTGGTGCAGCTTTTACGGCATCGAGGAAAAGCTGAAAAGGAAGATCTGTGAATTCGAGACGACCGAGTCATCACCGCCGTCCTTGGCGGTGGTCGAAAACCGCCTCAATGCGCTTCTGAAACATCGCTTTCGCAAGTTCAACTCAGAAATGGTGCAGGATCAAAAGAAAGCGCCTTCATGTTTACCGTCCGACAAACCTCAGCCGGAGCAAACAAGTCTTTTGTCCCCGACGGCTCTGCCGGCGGGCAACAACGGGGACAACGAGTGCTATCCGCTGGTGAGCGAAATGGAAAATTACATATCTTCAAAATCCGTCTAAGATGATCGTTCTGTTTGAGTTTTCGCCTCCACAGTGTCCCACGTGGTACGTTGTTATCGTCTGAGTAGAATATAAGTGACGGGTGCTGCTGTTGTACGTCATTCTTTGCTTAGCCTCGTACTCGACACCGGTAATTTCAAGGATTCTCACAGCTCAGAGCTTTTTCGCTCATGGGATATGACCGCGTATCTCGTTGGATGGTTTCGATTCGAGTTTGTACATCTGTTCGGAATACGCTTTGTCAATCAAGTGTGTAGCCAAAATTTATATCTGTTTTATTACATTTTTTATCTGTCGAGCTAGCATGTTCATACGCAGAGTATAGATTATTCCTTCAGAAGATATATTTGCAGGGAAATGTGGTCTTTATTGCATTAAACGTATTGTCTTAAAAATGAGCTCATTGTTTTTCATATAACCATCTTTGACGTTCATTCACAGGATGTCATCAAATCGTCTGTATTCCGGATGCTGTTACAATGATCGGCATATCATGGCTCATATTTTCTTACTTTACTCTCTTTAAGTCATACTCTAGCAAGCAAAGTTCATTTTATTGCTATGATAAACACAACCCATGTTTTTGGGTAAATTAATGGTCTACAGTAATGAATATGACATTTACATGCAAAAACGAACTCTCTCTATCAAATGCCGCTGTGTACTGTCGTTATGTACTGCCATTGCTCCACTGTTGAAAACTGTTAATAACCAACGCGTTGTCTATGAATAAACTGTTTTATACATTTTTCAGTTTTCAGTATGAACACCAATGCACGAACAAATTGCTCAGTCTTTCATTTAATCATTTAATTAGTTCACTTCAGATTCAAGGAGTTCGCAACCAGTGTTAAATTCAAAACAAGATTCTCAGAGATCCAACATCTCAAGGTGGTTAGCCACCTGCAGAAAGAATTGAACATGTAGAAGTTGCCTTCCCATTCTTTGGATGACAAATTTTGTCTTGATGCTGTGGCGATGACTTTCTTCAGGAGCATAGTTAAACAATTCGGGGTTTAGTGCAAAGTGGAAAATGACGGTGATGCATTTGTAACGTGAGGAATGAGTTCAAATGGCACACTTCTGTCTATCAATTAATTTCGTAACAAGGTAAGTCATGCTGGGATGATTTTGTGTTTGTCCGATCCACCGTAGCTGATTCCGAAATCTGTCTTTTCGACATGTCGGCCTCCATGCGGACGACGCTGCAAGCATCACACGACGTTTCTTCAGTATCCCGTAGAAATGTGAGATTCGACAGCTTTTTACTCCTTGTCTGAGACATCTGATTCACTTCTATAATCTCTCTTGATCGATATTGTGCCTGCTGATGATCCGATTGGTCAGCCTACAGATTTTCGAGGCAGTTCTTTTCCTTGAGTTCGGCGAATCTGGCGGAATGTTAAGTTACTTCTTATGTGACCCCGGAACTTTTCTGCCTAATGCCTCAACGTCCTCACGAATATACATTTGCCCTTATCTGCCGGTAGGGTCATTAGTGTCATTTTTTGACTTCTTTTTCATCGATCATTTTTCTGGGGTTATTTTCTCGTTGGTTTGCGCGGCGATTGAAACTTTTGAAGGATGTTGACGGTGCCCGTTGATTTAAAGCTGCCTCAACGCCAAGAATTGACTACTGACTTGTTTAGTAGTAGCTTGAACTGTGATCCAAGTCTCAGTTTCCCTTCTTTGAGAGCGATGCTATTTAGGTTTACTGCAAGAGTCGTGTTTTGGTCTCTTGAGCCGGTTTCGGCTTCGGTCGTATGTGACCGAAGTATTCCTCGGAGCAGTGTTCCGTTCTGAGGAATTTTCTTTTTCCAGTTCCTATGCTACTCCATGATGTGCTAGCAATGCAGCCGCGAGGGATCAGCTTTCTCACTTTTGCATTCTTCTCCAGCATGCTATCGGTAGTCCGTATTAAGCAGAAAGTAGTCGACCAAATTCATAAGTCTTCTAGTGTGGTTTTCTGCGTGCTCTATGACTTCTCGAGATATTTCCCATGGTGTAATGCCGCGTTCTCAGGCATACATTTCTATCGACGTTACTTGATTCTGTGGCAAGCATCCTCTCCCAAGGTCCTGAAGACGTAAACAAACTAATCATTTCTCGTTAATCTTGCAATAATAGTTCTCTTTGACTCTATTCGATTGGTTGCTTTTCATTTATGTGATGCCATTTTGTTTTTCTTTGGTTGCTGCATTTGTATTGTTCATGACCGTTTGCATGATTATTCATGATTTGTTTGTTCGGCTTTTCTTAACCAAGTTGCTCGTTTTGAAGATACCGATCAAGAGACTGAAATGGGTGACCTGTGAAAAGGATTCTCTGGGCAACTGAAACTAAAAGGATGGAAAAATGAATTGTGCAATAGACAGGGGCCATTGAGCACTAACACTGCTAGCTATCACAAAATATCGACAGTAATTTTCTTTATGAGCATATATAATAAATATTATTTTCAGTCCTTATAAAGCCATTTTCTAAATTCCATG